TGGTCTGTCCCACATACGTCAGGCTGCACGATCCGCATGCTACACTGTATACTCCTTGGTTTTCCAGAGTAATTTTTTGTTTTGGGTTTCTTAGTATTGCTCCGATGGTATGGTCAGGTTTGTATGCCGTTGATATGTCGTGTTTCCGTAATATTCGGCCGATTTTGTCAGTAACCCCCTTGATGTATGGCAGGACAGCGATCGATCTTCGTTGGGTCTCGTCCTGCACTCTCTGCTGCGGCTGTTGTTGTTTACTGATTGCCTTGCTGATGGTGCGCCTTTGGTATCCGTTTTGTTGAAGACAGGATTCCAGTCGGATGCAAGATTTGCAGGATTCCAGTCGGATGCAGGATTCCAGTCGGAGTTCAACGAGCGAACGGATGATATCCCGGAATATAGTGTCATCATATATATATATATATATATATATATATATATATATATATATATATATATATATATATATATATATATATATATATATATATATATATATATATATATATATATATATATATATATATATATATATATATTGCTCTACAGCAAACAATCCATATACAGAGCAATATATAGTAACATCAATACAAATATAATATTTAGTAAACTAAATTTTGTGCGCAATTGACACTGATGCTTGACCCTTCTTTGTAATTAGTAATAAGTTCTATTTACTTAATGTCCCAAAAATTGCGGGATCTTTAGATTAAGAATAATAAATTAAATTGAAGACAACTTGGAGATCGCTTAGGACGCGATGTTTATACCATTGTCACGAAATAAGTAAAAGAAACCAAGATAATGCCCAAGCCGTTAAGGTAGCGTTCTCAGAGAAAGCCTTAATAAAATATCCTGAACGCAAAGTGCAATTTGTATAATCGCGGCTGGATTTAAAAACCGCAATCGTCTCGGTCAGCGTGTTTCTTTGTTTATTTCATGATATAAAAATATCAGGTTATTAGTAAATACTTGCATTTTAATTCGTTGTACTGTATCCTCACAGATAAAAATTGTGATTAATGAAGCTTGAAATATGATTAACACGCAATTTTCGCATATTACCATAAAGCGTCTTTTATAACCAGAAAGCTTTTTTTTCAGACATTTACTTTTAATATATTTCGACTTCTGAAACCTAAAGAAAAATTAAATAATTCAGTGGATATTAATATCGCTTCAGAACATTATTCCTTATCAAAGTCATTTTCTTTTAATTTACCTATTTTATAACAAATAAAATCGGGCTAGGGCTTCCATTTTTCCTTAATTTTGTCACTTAATTTTTTCTATTCATTCACAAAACAAATATAAACCGGCAATTAACATAAACAAATTCTTATCCACGGTTTGGTTTCACACGTTTCTGACATTAGAAGGGATATTGCCTGGCTTGCTTCAGCTAATAACGACCTGCGTTTGCGTATGTTAGGTTATTCTACACACTAAACAGCGCATAAAAAATTTTTGATTAATATTTTGAACAGAAACACTCGAAACCGCACGAAATACCAACAGCAAACAACCAAATTTAAAACCCCAATTACCCAGTATCTTAATGCGACAGGGTACTAAAATGTAAATTTCAATGACAGAGACCATTAAAGAGGATGGACAACTTAAAGATAATAACGTAATATTTGGATAAATAGCAATGACGGATTTTAAGACCTATATATTTCGAATAGCTCCTAAATGAGGGTCGCACTAATTTGGTATTGGATGCTTACATTTTTATCCTGACATGTTCTACCAATGATATATCCGTAATTTATTCAAATTTAGACCCCTGTAGAATAATGGTGTACACGATGAAGGAATTGCGGGGAATTGCGGTCCGTACTGACAAGAAATATAAAAAAAAATTCACTATAACCATAATCGAAACAGCGACCTACCATATGACAGACAGATGATATCTTACCACTATAACATGAAAACTAATTTCTTTGGAATTCCGTCGAATTCCTTTAAAATTTCTTGTTTATTGAAGTATTCCGCCCTGGCTTATTTATTTAAACCCATTATATTATTCTAATAACAAGAAATGGTAAATGGAGAAATTATAGAGGAATTAAAGCGTACACCCTGAGCTCTGCGATTTACTTATAATTTACATAAGTTTTTGCTATTCAATATCTATAGCTGTAGCCATAGTCAGCAGACAATTTCGTCTTGAAAGTGATTGAAATTCTTTACAATCATAATTTTTCACAATTTATTTTTAGCAATGGGTGGAATAAAAGAATGGTTTATTCAGCGATATCTACCAACAAGTAGATTTAAAAAATAGTTATTCTTTTATTACAATTCATTAAGTTTTTAGTTAAGGTCCATATTGATCTGCTTTTATCAAGTCTGTTATACACCGCATACTTAAAACCGAAAATTTGTATATATTTATTTTTGATTTATATATGGTTCAGCTCACGAACATATAATCATTTGCTAATATTTCGTGAGCTTTTCCCCTTATTTATTTACTATTTATGTATTTGTACTTATTTAATCTTCTTTTGAATGTGCTATTTGTAAATAAACCAATATTATTATTAATTTTTCAAAGAAACTTCCACAGGCTACTGTAATGATTTTTACAAATTTTTTGGATTCCTCCTGCGTCGGTTTTTGCTTAGTCGATATTACTGACGTTTAGCCAATCATCCTGTTGGCTTCTTCAGAGCTTGACTGAAACAGGCTCGTATTTTACTCTTCCTTCCACGTTAAAGATATTAAACCTTCCATCAAAAAACACACTTCACCACAACCTTCCAATAGCAATGAGGCCGAAAGCAATCCTACACTTGCCATTGAGGTCCTTCGTTACATTCAAAACATCACTGACCATATCTCAAAAATTCTGAAGAAGTATAACGTCAAAATCCGATTTACCACTTGTCCAAAAATCTCTCAAAATCTGCGGTCCGTCAAAGACAAAATTCCATTTGAGACGCCAGGAGTTTACAGTATTCCATGCATATGCGGCAAAGAATACATTGGAGAGACCGGACGAAAAATATCAACTAGGCTCAAAGAACACGAAAGAGCCATACGACTAAGACTAATAAACTCATCAGCTGTTGGCGAACACACTCATGAAACCGGGCATGAAATTTTATTTGATAAAGCTAAAATTCTTGCATGTAATCAGTTCTTCTACCAATGAAAATTCCGAGAGTCTATAGAAATCTATAAACAACCTAACGATCTTAATCGCGACTCAGGCGACTAAGTCATCCGAGACGGTGTTTATACCCCTCATTAGCGCCGCCCCCACCCCCCTCAAGCAATATATAAGCAGGTACAGAGTAAAATACGAGCCAGTTTCAGTCAAGCTGTGAAGAAGCCAACAGGATGATTGGCGAAACGCCAGCAATTTCGACTAAGCAAAAACCGACGCAGGAGGAATCCAGAAGTTTTGTAAAAAGTATTATTATTATCATTTTTATTATTATTATAAAAATTTTAAGACTCTTCTTTCTCATTTCAGACATTATGTCATTTCATCTATTTCTTTGTTAAGTTAAACGATTGTGTTATTCTGCTGATGACAGTATTTTCATTCACATATACTACAATTTCTTTTGCTTCTCTTTGATGACCTGATGGGGTCGCGTTTATCTTCTTGCACAAGTCGGTTTATTGTTTCACTGTCCAACTCCAGTTACATTGGAAAGAAATTTGCACATTTTCTGTAACTCCGAATGTTCAGTTTTGATCCCGAAGAGCTTTGAACACATTGAGAATAATATTTTTCCCATTGCTAGAAAACGTAGTTTAATTTTAAACACTAAGGCATAAGTACCTGCAACTCTTTCGACGTCTATGGATCACGGCTAAGATTACTTAGTTTTACAGGATTTTTAACTCTCGCGCATTAAAAAACAGACCATAAAAATGTTAAAATTATCCAAGATTCAGGCGGTTCCTTATACGTGCGCGTTTAGGATATGATCGGCCCAAAAATATTAAGGTCTTGTAAGGTATTAAGGAGCAAATAGTTTTTAATTTAATAGTACTTAGCAGTATTTATAAAAGGGTGTGATGGGACAGTGTGATCATTCGAAAGTTTTTGGTTAGTTTTGGTTAGTTTAGTTAGTTTTGATCGCGGAGATGTTGTATAAACTCATTTGCTTTTCATTTGCCACTCTAAGCAACCCAAATCTTATTCATTTTGAGAACTAACTTTTATTGACCCTGCAGATCAATACCAGAATAAATTTGTAAGATTAGATGAAGATGGCCTTTTTGATAATGTTTAAACAATCCATATGGATACCTTAAAACAGTTTTTAAATAATAAATCCCGCAATCAGAGATGACCATTATCTAGCAAATCTGTTATTTTCACGATGAACCAGTTTTTTGATGAAATGTTCCTGTCAGTCAATCTCACAAATTGGTCTACATGGTGCCAAAATTTAGAAATTTAATTTATACCCATTTCTGATAAATCATAAATCAGAACACGGATAAACCACGCAAAGAAAATTAATGTAAAGTAACATCTACAACTTGCTGATAAAGAGCGGCCTCTATATGGATCAGAAGCATGGGGACTGACGGAAGATAATTAAAGAAGAGTAAATGCAGTGGAAATGGACGTGTTTATGAAGTAGTTGAGAATATCTCGATTAGAAAGAGAAACACACGAAGAAGTAAGAGGGGGATAGGTGAAGAAAAGACTTCCAAAGATGGCTATGGAAATTACACCACCACCACCGACGGAAGAAAGGGAGACCTGAGCAGAAGGAGTCACAGCGGCATTGAGCCATAGAGATATAAGAGAAGGGTAATGAAAAAAATAGAAAGCAATGGAGAGCGGATATCGTACAACGTCGCAGGATGCTCTAAATTCCCATTTTCATATATAAATTATATCTAATAAATTGCGTCAAAGGTATTCATTAGCATAAGCTGGGCCCATTGTTATTATCATTATTATGACATAAATATATCTCTGTTCAAAAATTAAAATATGATTTCTGAATTTTCTTTTGCAGGGCGCTAAGATACACGAACGGCTCAGCTTCCAGCCAGCGATATACGCTTTCGATCAAGATTTTGCCATCGACACTCCCATTAGATACGACATTATAGCTGGCAACGATCGACATCTGTTCTATCTGGACCACGTAAACGGCTCTTTGTTCTTAGAAAGGGAAATCGACTTGGAAGCTGAACGGTCATTGCCAGCGAACACATTTGTTCTGCAGATTCAAGCGTCGCAGGTAAGTTTTAATTTTCGCGACCTGTGACAAAAATTCTTGTAATGAATAATTTTTTTGTAATTTGTAATTGAAGCTACTAGTCTGAACCTGTTTATTTCGATGTAGGTGGACAATCCTCTTAAAGCGGGAGTAGCCCGGGTCGAAGTAGAAGTAATAGACTTGAACGATAACTTGCCTGAATTCGAAGTTGACTTCTACAACATCAGCATCGTGGAGAACTTACCAAATGGTTTCAGTGTTCTGCAAATTATTGCCACTGACCAGGATCAAGGCGATAATGCTGAGTTTTCATATCAATTGGATGATAAAAGCGGTGCCTTCACTTTAGACTCACGAACAGGATGGATGACGGTAAGAACTTTGTATAAAATTATTTCATAATCTCAAAATCTCATAATTTTGTTCGGTTTTCTTCAATATTGTGTAAATTTTTTATGTTCATTGAAATTCTTAATAGTCTATATTTCGTTGTAACTCCAACTGGCAACATTTGTTTCTATAGAGGGATGGCAAAAATATGGAAAAAATGCATTAAAAAATCAGATATTGAATTTAAAAAAAAATGCTTATAGGCATCAATCATCAAAATATACAGGGCGGGAACACTATTTTTCCAAATTCATTTACGAATTCTATTACCTATCTCTTATTTTTATGAGCAATAAAAAACAAATATTTAATTTTGAAGTGAACAGGTAAATAGCTAGTATAAATTGTCACAATTACATTTTTCTACTCCCGTCTGTAAAATGTCTACTTTTACACCGATCTAACGTGCGAGAAGCGCCATTTTACCACTTCAATTTTGTTTCCCACGGATCTGAGCCACTTCGGACATTTCCGCGATTTTACCGCACGGGTTTGGGAACAATCGGATGTTTTCGGAGATATTTCCCACATCTTGAATTGTTTTGCGAAAATGTACCCAAAAACTAACGGTCATAGTATGCAACACGTTCAATAATTTTTTTAAGTCACTCGTTTATTAAACACTCGCTCCGCTGCGCTTAGCTCGTGTCAAATAAACTCGTGAGTCAAATGCCGTTTACCTCACTGTTGTCAGCAAAGAAAGTGAATATGGCGTATCTAAATGAAACCCACGGAATTAAAATTTTAATTTTTATTGGATATGGAGACGAAATGAAAACTCAAGAACTTAGGAATTTGTTTATCGCATATTATCCAAAAGACCCGCTACAAGAAGATCCAGTGAGCCAATTTGACAGAAAATAGAAACAAACAGGGTATATGCTAGGTCATCCAAAAACTAATGAGAACATAAGATTTTGTTAGAAGGTAAATGGTACTGTAAATAAAAAAATTGTAGGTATTGGAGTACAAATAATCCAATCAGCATCCAATACAGACAATACCTGATATTTAAATGAAATTTTTCCATATTTTTGCCGTTCACTGTATAATCGTATCATTACTCTCATTCAAAAGAAAATTTCTATTCCCCTAAATATTGCTAAATTATTAAAAACCTTTACAACGAAAAAATTTAGTAACATTTGATTGCTGATGTGATAATTGAGCTACAAAAACCACAATTAATTTCAGCATCTATTGAAAAATGTTTTCTAAAATCGCTTCCTGAAAAACTAAAATGTAATACTGACTAGAAGCAATGAAAATATACAAAAAAGATAACTAAAGAAAATTGTTTTTTTTGATGACTTCGAGAAGGCTTTGCATAAAGTCAAACATCAAAAATTTATCAAAGTGCTTAACAAGAGAAGACTAGACCACCGAGATATATAAATAATTAAAAAACCTTTCTTAGAACCAAACAGAGCCCAGGGAGAGATAACGGATTACGTCAAAATCGACAAAAGGCTGCATATTGACACATTTATTATTCAATTTTTACTCTCACTATACCTTTAAAAACATCTTAAAAGCTCGCAAATAGGAATTAAAGTTAATGGAATCCCTATTGACACACCTAGATCCGCAGACAATGCCCTTGAAAAAAATGCCACTTACCTAGAAATAAAATTCCGTGTTAAGAATACCCGATCTATTCTACATAATTTTATTATAACGCACAGTCTTAACGCAGCAGAGAGATGTCATGGTCAAGAATCATCCACGATTAGATTGACACTAAAAATGCTGAAAATCTATTTATTTAAAAAAATGTGGTCAGTTCGAATAGCAATGTGATATGCCCAAAATTAGGACATGATATAATTAAGATATTTGTTGTGCTTTTTGATATTCAAATGCCTCAACCGACTATTTTTTCATTCCAAAGGAAATCTTAATCAATTTACTTTCTACATGTCCAAATTTTCAAGTGCTTTGAACAAAGCATCCACGTCAACCAATTGAATTACGGGCCGGCTGGACTGTGGTAGTTGCACCAACAATATTCCAATTCCAATCCAGTCCACAATTATTAAATTAATTACGTTAAAGTTAAGCTTTACTTATGCTGGCACTAATCTTTTTCTATGAATTTTGCTAGTTTTGGATTTTTATTTTTCAATAAATGCATGTTCAAAAAACCAGAGTCAAAACCGTAAAATGGATTAGATGGGTCAGTTATTCATCCAATCACAAGTTTCAGTCTCAGTGCAGTGCAGGGTGAGTCAAAAGTAATGAGAAAATAGTAAATGTAAAAATTGTAAATTTTGCTGGGATGCACAATTTAAAATTATTTTAAAGAATACAGGGTGGCTCAAGAAAGCAATGTGAATAAAACTTATCATTTTAAATTTTGTTTTGAATTCGTGATGAAATTCTTCAACGTTCCTATTATTAATACCTACATACATACGTACCTACCTAAACCTAATATTTTACTTTTTGTAAAAAAATACTAGTTTTCACACTTGCACAAAAATTACGATAGCGCCATCATTTTTGAAAGCAGAAAACTCTTATGTAATATTAGCATTATTTCAAGATAAAGTAAAATATATATGCAACGGAATTTCAATTAGATGTTACACGGTGCTACATCGAATATAGTTGAATCATTTTAAATTGAAAAAGTCTCGATGTTCTTAAATGGCCCACCATCCATATTAGTATTTTTTGTAAATGGTCTTACAAAAACCTACAACTTTTATGAAGAATTTACCCTTATTTCTATAATATTACTTGGCCATGGCAAAACTTTTAGTCAATAGGGCTCTGTTATGATCAAAAAATGAACATGAGAGAGAGAAGTTTGTTTGATTCATAAATAAAGCAACAGAACGTTATTAACAATTTTGGTGAAAATAACCGCCAAATTTGCAATTTATTCAAAAAATAAATAATATTAAATACTAATGATCGGATCGGCCTCAATTGCTTCATTTATAACTGTGCAGAAGTTTACTTTTTGTCCAAAATCCCGGACTAGAAGTTCTTGGTGTAGTTTCGTATGGTATTTGTGTTTTCTATTTGTGCGACTAACGGTGGATAACTCAGCTACTTGACTGTTACTGACCTGCGGATTATCTTGAGCCACAGACACCTCCGTAATTGTTTTTGAATCCAAATTTATTTTAGTAGAATCATTTAAAGCTTCACTAGCAACAAAAGATAAATATAACTGAGTATCATCGGCGTATTGATCAGATTTACAAAATTTGAGGAGTCAGCTGTATAAATTGAGAACAGAATAGGCCCCAATATACTCTATCTCTGGTGTCTCTGAGAAAGAAAATTTAAGAATATAAAAGAATTGTACTAATAATCTCAAAGTATTTCAAATATTTAAAAAGGTGCTATAGATTTCGTGTGCCCATGTTTACCCATATTTAACCCAATGTCTGAAAAAATGAATGGATTCTTCAATTTACCAGCAGCGATCGCAGATAGAAATCAAATAACTATGGCTACCGTGTGATACACAAATATTTTACTGATATTGCCGCTGATTTTAATATTGCGGATTTCCCAAAACGGCAAGTATATCGAGATTATTTGAACAAAGCAAAATGTAATTAAAGAATCCAAAGTGGATCAGCTTTCCCACAGAAAATCATAGTAGCACAATGAATTAATGACTGTAAACAAGAATGCCAACGAACGAATGAATTAACTCAGATGATAGAGTATAAGAAGATAATCTGAATTGTAAATTGTTATTACTGTAGACTCGTATCCCTAATAAAATTAATTGCTCGTTGAAAATTATTCAATTTTCAGATAAGAAACGACAAAAGCTAAATGGACTAGTTATATATTATAATAATACATCGCCCTTGTATCAACCTTCGGAAATATTTAATGTAGGCATATAAAATTCCAGCTTTCACTTAATGTCAAGATAAAAAGGAAAATCGACATTAAATGATAATTAGGAACTGTCCAACAAGAAAACTTGGAAAAAGAACATTTTCCGATTTATTTAATAGAATTCTTCATGTCTTCCTTTTCCTTATTTTGGATTTTAAATTGACGTGGAAATGGATGACCTTAATTCGTCGACTCTTTAACCTCCTGATAAACGTTAATAAGTAAAAAATAAACAACGAAATATTTGTTGCAGGTGAGAGATCAGACCATTTTAGATAGGGAGAAAAGGTCCACCATTAGTATGCGGGTTCATGCGAAGGAGAAAGTTCCGAGTGTTGTGTCGAATAAAGTGGGAGCTTCCTCAGTCATGGTTGAGGTTACATTACTGGACGCTAATGACAATAATCCGACGTTCATTCCAACAAACCTCTATGACTTTGTGATTACCACTGAAGCGAGGAAAGGAGATTCAGGTACGCCATCAAATTTATGATGGAATTGTAACATTTTCGTTTTTAAAAATTGTTTTTTTCCTAAATAGCAAAGTTCTTCAAATAAAAGTTTTAATAATATTGGTCTAAAATAAATTTTTAGTTATGTTATTTTATTGCATTTCAATTTCCATAAGTCTTTTGGTGGTAGTAGTAGTAATAGTAGCAGCACTTTTTTAAATTATAGTATAAATGAACAATAAAAATCACTAATTCTACGCTAAGCTAAAAGTAACAATTAAATATTTATTTTTTATGAAATTTCTGGTTTCCTGCTGCGTCGGTTTTTGTTGACTCGAACTAGCTAACGTATTCTTCTCCGCATATGCATGGAATGCTGTAAACTCCTGGCATCTCAAATGGAATTTTGTCCTTGACAGATCGAAGATGTTGAGAGGTTTTGCAACAAGTGGTAAATCTGGTTTTGACGTTATATTTCTTTAGAACTTTTGATATGTGGTCAGTGATGTTTTGAATGTAAGGAAGGACCACAGTGGCAAGTGTAGGATTGCTTTCCATTTCATTGTTAGTGGAAGGTTGTGGTAAAGTGTATTTTTTGATAGAACGCTTATTATCTTTAATGTGGAAATTATTAGAGAGAAGAGCAGAGGTAATTCTGGGTTCAATGACTAGGACTGAGATAGTTTTAAGGCTCTGTAAATAAGAGAGTTGATAACCGATGATTTTTGGACCGGATGGTGATGTGACAATGCATTAAGGTATCGGTCTGTGTATGTAGGTTGGTTTTCTGTAAACACAATGACCCAAAGTTAGGTCTGATTTTCTATTCGCCCCTCTCAAACAATATAAAAGCCGGTACAGAGTAAAATGAGAGCCAGTTTCAGTCAAGCTCTGAAGAAGCCAACAGGATGATTGGCGAAACGTTATCTAGTTGGAGTCAACAAAAACCGACGCAGGAGGAATCCAGAATTTTTATAAAAACTATTACAGTAACCTGTGAAAGTTTATTTGAAAAATTAATTTAATATTTCTTAGTATTAGCAAAATCCTTAAATTATATATCTAAAAATGTTAATTATAATTATAATTAATAATAATTGACAAATCATATACCATAAATTCATAGTCAATTTTCATAGTTCATATTTTTCAAACAATGATAGGTATTGATGGATTTCATAATCAGAGAGTTGAACAAAAACTAAACAAAAGTCGCATACAATCTATCGACAGGGTGGTAGTAATTTTAGTGTTTTAGCTAGATATACCTGAACTACATCTCGCTCGAATCCTTTACATGTAAGTCGATTTTGCTCTGTCTCGTTCAATAGTAGCATTTTCCTGTTATAACATTCCAATTACGACCACACTGTACGCTCAGGTGCAAGAATAACGCAACAATGAAATTTTTGCTAAAATTTGAAGAACATATTTAAGCTAATTGTAATAAATTTTTTAGAAAATTTCATATAAAATAATTAATCATTAAATCATCCTGCGGAATAATGACGTTATCATTTTGTTAAAAAACATTTGTCAAGAACCATTCTTATCCTATTGTTTGTGTTTCATTTTTAAGAGCAAAATAAACACACAACAATCTTTAAAGAAATGTATTTATTTTTTAACAAACCAAATCAACTTCAACTTGACTAACGTAATGAAACCCTTTTTTTACAACAAACCTAGCCTAATATTTTGTATTGCCACCGCTGTCAATTCATTTACGAATAAGGGTCTTGAGGAATACTTTGCCATTCCTCCTAGGGTTCAATGGAGCTCATCAACCATTCTAGAAGCTACTTCACGGTCATTGACTTACCTGGCATATTCCACACATACTCTATGGGGTTGAAATCAGGCTGAAAACATGCTGGTCAGTTCATTTTGTGGATTTCAACAGTGCATTTTTTTTTTCATTATCGCCAATTACATGGAAAGGTATAACGTGATTGGCTTGTAGTTAACGATCCAGAACAGAAAATTAAAGTTTAAAAAAAAACCGCCGGGTGTTTTAAAATGAAGGTGCATGATGCAACTATTCAGTTAACCCAATATAACGACTAAAAAAGTTGTGATTCTTTAAATATTACCCAAATTTTGATTGGCGCTTTTTTTTGCACCTGAGTATATTTATCTCATTTCGGGTTCGAAAGAGTGGACCAGATTCTAAGCATAACGGACGATTTAAACAAATGCGATAAATTATTTTTAATTAATTATTTGCGCGGTGTTGAAAAGGGCCAAGCGGATGACAAATAATTAACGCCCGATACCTGTCAGTGATCGGGAAAATTGTTAAAAAGAAATTATAATCACATGCGTCTCCTCTTTCGAAAGGCGAGCTATAAGTGAAATGGGACAACTAAAATATCGACATGATGAGAAAAGTTTAGTTTAGATTGCTTGCGAAAGAGAACAATGGGCCAAACTTTCTTACCTGAAACTGCTCAATCGACGTTTTTATTGAACATTTTATGCAATGTTAATATTTGTATTATTCAACATAAATAAATTGTTAATATTATTAATTAAAATCCTAGGTAATCCTTTATGTAGATTCTAGCATTCTATCGGTTTCTCTGACACTCTTGACACATTTTGGATGAACGTTATTCGGTTTTAAATTAAATGTTGTTGTTTTCCTAGCAACAAAATAATGAACAAGCATTTTCATAGTTTTAAAACAATTTATAGTTGTAACAGTATGAATTTAATCTATTCAAATGAGCTTGGAAAGATTGAAAAATTAGCATGTAATAAGCAATTGCCAAAATAGAAAAAAAGAGCAATGGACCCAATTGTGAACACTGGAGCACATCTAATACTGCACACTTTCAACTGTTGGTTATTAATGATTAATAGCGACAATTTGAATTCTACCACCTAAATAGTTTTATTTACACCACCAAAGAGGGAACCAAGCCCCGCGCACTATTAATTTGTCAAATATTTTTGGTAATGAATATTACAACTCACGTATATTTTTTTAAAGAAATCACGTTGGTTTTTATTCCAGGTTGATTCGAGTTTAAAAAAAAAGCTCTCATCAAATTTAACAGACAATTAATATTGATCTGAATGTCTGGAAATATATGTTTTTGAAGACATTGCGTTAAAGTAATATGAATTGGGGTTGCCAAAATTGGACAAAACAAGAGAGGAAATCCTCGACCTTTTTTGGGATGAAGTTGTTTAATTTTATCTTTAGTTACTTTCTTGTGAATTTTTTCTATTTGAACAAACTGTTGTGGTTCTGTGCTAACTACTCTGATACTTTTAAAATAGCTAGGAAATATATCACAGTTTTTGTTTAGAGAAGCGAGAAGAGAAGTGTCTTCACAAAACTGGCTTTTACAACTTAGTTAGCTTTTTTCTTATATCTTACTTAAAGGTAAAGCACCCTTGAGCTGACACAAGATTTTTTTTATGCTTCATTAGAATGCCTCTCGATTGAAGTCTAATATTACAATCAATGAAAGTCCTTGAGTCCATATCTTTTTTTTAATATTTCTGGCAGACATTTTTGACTTCTTTAAGGGACACAGTGCGAATAGTCTGTCAATCGACACCACCAACTTATTATTATAAGCTCTTGACACATACATTTACTTATACAAATTATTAGTTAATGTCTTAAAAACCAAAATCATTTCCTTAAGGCGAGGTGGTCCAAATCATCCCGGGAGGAGCTTTATCTAAAATAACAACCCTGCTGAAGTAGTTTTGGGAGTTAATTTTACTGCTTCGTTTTTTAGGGAAGAATCTTCTGAGAGAGAGAGCCTCACGGTGCAGAGGTCCTGCTTCTTAGTACGTTCTATAAATCCAAACTTATTTCGTAGAAAGCGTCAATACGGGTTTTTATTAGCACAATTGTCAATTGCTGATATATTATTGAAAACCCACTCTAACTTCTTTAGACGTTTTTTAATACTGTTGAAATCTCCTTCTTCTGTTCTCTTGCAACTTGAGTGGATATAAGCATTTAGAAGTCACTCAGAATGAGCACGGATAGAATTCGAAGGCAGTATTTCGATAATTAATTAAAATTGGCCGACACTACACACTATACTCCACTACCTTAGCTCTAATTTACCATTTCACACAAGCAGCATTCTAGCTCAACTTAGAGGAATGAATAATAACTCCACAAAATTGAAGTCTAAAAGGTTTGTTATATAAACCGACTGAATTGTATGTGATCTCCACAAAACTGGAACTCTATTCTACGTACCGTTTAGATGTCCTCTTTATAACGAAGTTAGAACTATGTGATGTGAATTTTTCTGTGAAAAAACTGGATAATCTTACACCTAGAACCGTGGTGTATATCTCTTGTTTCTAGAACTTAGCCCATTTCTTTTTAATCAATAATTTTTTTGCCTTCTTAACGATTTTCAGGAAAATATCTTACAAATCGGGTTACAACTTTTTTCTTCATTTTTATTTATTTTCAAAATCTTCTTGTATTTTATTTTGTACATTTTATCTATTTTTTTTGTAGTTGTTCTATAAGAATTGGCCGTAGGATTAAGTACGCATAACCCTTTAGAGATTCTGACTATAGGAATACTGCTATTTCCTTATAAACAATAAATGAAATTGAATTGAATTGTTTTATTTAGATTGGGCTAGAATATGAACCATACTTCTTAAAACGTGTTTATTATCTGTCTCACAAGATAATTTATATAAATAAAAAAACTTGTGCTACAAATGGTTTACGCTTACTTAAAAAACTGTTTGTTTTTTTGAGACACAAGTACTTTTTTAATATTAGCTAAACCGTTTGTTTTCAAGTGCATGGTCTAGTACCAACAGCGATTTTACTTTATTCATTCTGGAAATATTTGTATTTTATTATAGTTGGACAAATCCATGCCATTGACCCGGACCTTGGAAGGAATGGTTTAGTTATGTACGCTTTACAAAAAGCGCCAAACAACAGTCAATCTTTCGACGTCGATCCCAAAAGAGGAACCGTATTTGTTGCCACCGATAATCTGGCGCCCGGGAAACACCTTCTTTTTGTGGAAGCTTCCGATCAACCCATTAACCCCAGCGAAAGGCGAACTTCTTTAGCTGTTGTCACAATTGATGTTAAAGATCACAGAGGTAAGTTGGAGCGATGATAAACCGACGTTAACAGTTATACTTGAAAAACGCGTAAGAAACTAACCAAAATATTTACATCTGTCTGTCAATCTCCAAAAACCAATAAAGGAATTATTATGATCCGTTTCCAAGTTTCTAGCAACTGGGGCGGGGTTTCCCACAAAGGTTATAGCTGATGTCCCAAGAAGGGCAACGAGGAATGGTTTTAGGGAAACGGGCATTCTAATTAGTTTCAAGTTTTTGATATGGGTACCAGAAGGCATAATTGCTATCTTCAATTTTAAAACTCGGTTTCTATACAAATTTTTAAGGATAACCATAAAGTTAAGTGCTTACTATTAGCAAGCTGAGATTTTTTGTTCCATTGGTGTTTGCTCTGTCTCTAAATACCTCCAAAGAGCTTAACGCGTTTGAATGAATTTGAAGTTAAAAAGGGGTTTTCCTAGGCTATCAATCGTGACGCTACTGTGACTGCTTACTTTCCTGACATGAATCACAAAATTTTAAATTTTCTGGCACGGCTTGTTATAATAATAATAATAATAATAATAATAATAATAATAATAATAATAAAGGGCCTTTATTCGGTTTCGACGGAGGTATCTTACAAAAATATATAACTGTGAGGGCGGCATCCAACATAGTTGGTCTCATGCAAGCCCCTCAAAACGAGTATATGACACAATTTATAAAATAAAATATAGCATATCAATTATGTAGATATTCATTCAAAATGGTAGACACTGCTAGAGTGAATTCAAAAAAGGAATACATATATACAATTTGATAGTTACTAGTTTTATGATCGGCCTTTATTATGATACATTGCTTAAGTTTTTGTTTGAATGAAGTTAGTGAGGTGATTGATCTCAGTTGGAGAGGGAGTTTGTTGTAAGCCTTGATAGCATTGTACGTGAAACTGCGCTGAAACTGTGCTGAAGTACGTTTGGGAACGGTAAACAGCCCCCTATGGCGAGTATTAACCGAATGAATATCTGATCCACCAGTAAGTTTGTGAGAAAGATACGTCGGACGTTGGAGAGATATCATTTTTTTATTAAGACTAAAAGCTGCGACTTAAAATGTTCGTCTAATATTAGCCAGCGAGAATCCTCTAGGCTAGTAGATATATGATCAAATTTACGATTATTGTATGAAAATCCGAGACAGGCATTCTGAAGACGCTGAAGACTAACCTTGTCCTTTTGAAATAGGGCAGGCCAGTAAACTACCATACAGTATGAAATTGTGGAGAGAATTAAGGAAACGGTAAGTTTTAACTTAATTGATGTGTCCAGAATATCTTTATTACAGTAGAGAATCCGAAGCTTGTAAAACGATTTCTGGATCAATGAAGCTACGTGACCTTAAAAACGCAGATTATTATCCAAATGCAGACCCAGATTTTCGCATTCGGCAACCGGTCGTAAGAGAAGGTCATTAAGTAAATTTTGTCAGCCTCTAGACTAATTATTTTTCCTTTATCTTTACCAAAAATTATTTTCGTTAAGTAACAGACCATGCTTAATATAAATATCACTGAGAGCACGTAGGTCACTGTTTATATTATTAACGGCGGTATTAATTCGAGAGTAATTAATGTCCGATTATTTCGAATTTACCAAACAAAAGGCTAATTTATTATTTAGGATGCCAGATAATTAGAATAAAATGATATTATCAATCTTACTTTTACTTTTTTTACATTTATGATAACATTAATAAATCCTGTTTATTTCAATACATACATTTTTAGTGGTTATTTTATTTGTTTTAAATAAACTTATAGTATTCTTCTACGCTATATGGCTCTATTTGTATGAGTAAATTAAAAATTGTTCTCTTTAACATTATTAACTATTAAAAAACTTGACGTAATGATAATACGCACTCTTCACACTCATAGTCTGTGCCTGGGATCTGTAATACATGGTTCTTGTACTATAAACTTCCTGAAACTTACTGTTTAAAAAAAAAATGCTGTTTTTAAAAACGAACACTATGAAGATTACAGCTAAAATAAAAATTTATTTTCCCCTACATGACTTTCGAAAATTTGACTGAAGTATAGTTGTGTCTCTGCAATTTCCATACATAACAAGACCGTATCTTCTGGATTCCTCCTGTGTCGGTTTTTGCTTAGTCGAAATTGCTGATGTTTCGCCAATCATCCTGTTAGCTTCTGACAGACTGAAGAACTTGACTGAAGCAGTTTCAGTCAAGCTCTGAAGAAGCCAACAGGATGATTGGCGAAACGTCAGCAATTTCGACTAAGCAAAAACCGACGCAGGAGGAATCCAGAAGTTTTGTAAAAAGCATTACAGTAGCCTGTGGAAGTTTCTTTAAAACCGTATTTCATATGAGACTTAAAATTTACGCGATAAAGCGTTTTTTAATTTATCTACTATTTTATTAACATTATTTTCCCACGATGAAGTGCTGTCCAAAAATATTATCAAAAATATTGTCCAATTGCTTAAAACAATATCACAGTTTTTTAAATTTGCTCTAAACGTTGTTGCAGTCTTAACCTTATTAAAAACTAACTTTTTTTTATCTTTATTTAAAATTAAAACATTGGTATCTTCGGCTTAGTTAGTTATTTTACAATATTGACCAAATGCAAAAAATCCTGCAATTTTGTTAGTATACAAAAGAAATAATATGGGCCTTATACACTGCCCTACGGTATAACTGCTGCAATATATTTGCTCTCTGATTGTATCCGATTTTCACTCTTGCCAATTACAACTTGCTGCTTTTTTTTTAATTATGATTCCACCCATCTTAAAGCCACTCCTCTTATTCCATGTATATGTAGGACTTTTCACAATTTTTTTAAAAATCAAGTGTATGTTTTACAAAGGTAAGTAAAGCAGTTCCAATTGATGTGTTTGTAAAGTGTCCATGTTGTATATTATTTATTAAATTATTGATCACTCTTTCGAAAATTTTAGAGAACGATGCAGGCAGACTTATTGGGCAATAATTTTGCATGTCGTTGTGATGAGCTTTTTAAAAGATAGGGACAACCAGTTCATGTTTAAGTTGATCTTAAAATAATCCAAAGTTTAGCTAGTTGTTTATTACACCATGTGCCATACCATACACCAATGGTTTCAGTAACATTGGCAATACAAACTTTATGAGACTAGTCGAAATATACCTACAATCAAACTTATTGTTTAATTTTTTAGCAAATTTCTTTTTCATCCACTGGCTGTAGAACTATTGCGATTTGATGAAATGTAAGATTCAAACTAAAAGGTACATTTTCCAATTCTCTAAACAAATTTGGTGCAACGTTAATTAAAATTGTATAAAAGTTATTTTTTTCCTTTTAATTTCAGTTACTATAGACCAAGCACCTTTGTTTTTGTTAAAGCGACTAATACAAAAATTGGGAGTTATTGAATCCCATATAATTTGCAATTGCAAAATGCGCGTAAAATTAAAAATTTTTACCAGTCCCGCAGCAAAAGCATAAAACAAAATGACTGAAAATCTTCCATGCCGTTATTTGATGCTTGTAAAAGATTCTTGATTGCATATCGTTCTAATTAGTTTAAATTTGGTAAATGTTTATTGCATTAAAATTGTTTTATTTAAACTCATCGTAATCCAGTGCAGAGAATAAGGGACTAAGGGACGGAAAAGATGCTGATTACTACTTAAATGATTTAATAATTAATAGAATTGATTAGTCTGTAACAACAGCCACAACGACAACATTTGATTGGCTGACCAAACCTATTCATTAATTGCTGAATGTGTGGTAATTCCAAATAAATGAAAACGTATGCTGTGATTTTGTGCCATTCGAAATCATTGTTAAAAATGTAATAAAGATAAATTATAACATTTTATTTTTAGTCGTAAATAATTTTTGGAATCCTAAATAATAAGTCAGCATTTTATTTGGTTAAGTTCTTTTATTTTATTTAAGAAAATGTAAGAATGCGCCCGACTACTTTTCTTGCAGAGATAGAGCTAAGTACATTTATGAAAAATGTGAAGTACTCACTGCAATTATGCCAACATAGTTTTTTTTTAATTCAGGACAACAATTATTGAAAATAATTTGAAGCATTTTCTGCTGATTGATTTACTTGAATATTTTTTTCAAATTTCCACGACCTTCTATTTACTCAATACCTTATATGTTGCCCTAACTGGAACCCCCAGTATAAAACAATTTCCAAGTCTCTCTGTCAATGCCTCTGTACGCTAAAATCCGCATTGCAGCGACGAAATGTATCTTCCAGAAATCTGAAACATTGTTTTGTTGGATGCAAGTTCTTATGCGCAGATTAATAAAAGTTGGTTTGGCTTGGTTTAGTTATAAAATTTGCTTAATTTACATAGACCGCGACGAACCAATGGAATTTTGACACTGATTATGCATTGGGATCAATTCCGCAATTAAGGATTAGCAAGGTGGTGGTGCCATCTATTGCTGAATGTGTTCGTTGAATAGTTGCAATTGCGTAGAAATTGACAAAATGCTAATCCAGTTTTCTGGTCAGATCACACAGAGGTCACGAACAGTCATGATGAAACAGAAATTATTGTTTACGAACACAAAAAGTTTGTTGTTAGTTGATTGAAGCTATTTCCCTCAGCTACCGATGACTTTGACGTTTTTGTGGACTGTAACTTACTTTATCAGCAATTTTTATAACAATTAAAAAATTTAATAAATAAATTTGGTTTACACCCTCAAAACTAACCGTCTTGGAAAGCACTACTGCCACGTAAATATCGAGAGATCCGAACTACAGAAAACCCGCCTACCTATTTTATTTATTTAAAGAGATAGAAAAACATTTTTTATATGAAAGCTTTATCATTTTTTCTTAATTTTTTGAAATTAATACGAGCAAAACCAAAAAATAAAAAAAAAGTTTTTCTTTTTTGTGTAAAATTGTATTTTTTCAAAAATATAGCATGTGTACAATTTATTTTGCAAGGTTTCTTGAGAATATTTAGTTTCAAACTTA